CTTCGCGCGAGAACCTCTGCTCGTTTGCGTCATCATTACGCGGGAGCCACTGATCATTCACGTCGGACTCATCTCTGCAAAGCGAGGAGACATCGTCACTCGTGCTTAGAAGCAACGAACAAGCGGTACAGAGAGGACCATCGCTCACTCTGTGATCGCCGGTGTCCTGGATGTACGATCCACGACTGTAACGTTTGGCCAATTACTTGGAGACACCAAAGATGGGTGAACACTACGACGTCTCACTAATCTGGCTAATTAGTCGATCTGGGACATTAAGGGTGCTAACCATGGCATGCCCAGGATGCAATCGAATGCATAATTCATCTTAATCACCAAGAAATTGTCGTTACTGCGAAAGCCGTCAAATGTGTAAGGCAACGACACTTCGCGCCGCGATAAGCGGCGTGATTTTCCGTCAGCGAGCTTGACAACAGCTTGGCCAGGTCCCTCGTCGACCTGGTTGCTGGGTGGCAGCATTGACACGCAAGATTCACGGAAGAAATTTTTTATCGCTCCTGAATCTAGGAGCGCTCGTAGAGGTCGCCGGATACCGGCGACATGTAGATTTACAATAATAAGGCGTGAATCACCACTCGAAGTATCGGAATTTGACCGCGCACGCAGCACAGATGGGCTGGGAGGTCGGGCTGCCACCGGTGGACCCGGACCTCTCTTCAAACCAGTAGGGCTTCCTGCGCCTACTAGTCTCCTCCGTTTTTTTGGACGAGTGAGCGTATCACCTCCCTCATGATGGGTGTCCGTCGCATGCACCAACATCGGTGCTGCCGCGTGGCATTTATCCGTGCGATGTCTCGGCTTTCGACATCGAAAGCAGATCATCTGACGACTGCTACGGACGTCGCCCTTTCGCCCTTGTAGGACGTAACACGTCGTCAGTCACCCAAAGACTCAATTGCGTCAATCTCCATAGGTTCCGGGCCCGCTGATCTGACAGCGGTAACAACTGAAGGCTTGTTATAGGCCTTGGTGACTCTGAATTCCTCACGGAGGTCGATAGCGAAAGCCTCCTTAAACGTGTCAGGCTCCGCGCGTTCCAACGATAGAAGAGTCTGGCCTTCACGCATGCCATCGACAAACACGTTCACTTGTGTGTACATGTCCATGGAATGCGTGACAATGCACGACGCCAAATTACAAGCCATCTGCACGTAGTCGCGCATGGGTATTTTACCCTGCCTTAAGGACAGGAACCTTGAACGCACCAACTTCTCTTCTTGTGGCGGCTCGAAGGCGATTCGAAGGTCACTCTGGATGACTTCCAGATTGGGGAACGCATACTCGTCCACAACGAGTTTACCCAAAGCCCACTCCTTGGCTTTCCCAGTAAAACGAAAAAGGAGGAAGTTGACCTTCGCTTGAGGAGCCTCGAGAAGTCTCGAGACGATAGCGATGTCAACCTCTCGGAACCAACGCGACAGCGACAAGCGTTCTTTGCCTTCGCCAGAGTAGACGGAGATCTCCATCTTCACGGCATCGTTCCATGAAGTCAGCGAGGGAGTTAAACCTCGCTGATTGGATTCGGCGAGCTCTCGAGCCATGAAGTCGTGTCTGGCGAGACGCTTTCCATCAAAAAACGCTGATTTCATCAGTGACACAGCAAATGCCTCTACAGACATCGCCGCGAGACGATTAAGGGCATCCCACTTCTCAAAAAGTGAGATGGGGAAAAGTCGCGTGCTCTAGACTCACGTCTGGAGCGTCAAAGTACGACGAATCACTCATCCCAAACTCGGGCATGGGAAGGACTACTAAGTGCTACCAGGTGTAATGGGGCTAGAACAACCCGTACTTAGCTCACACTATTTCTAACGCTTTGAGGAAGCTCAAAGCCCAAGTCTTAGGTGCTTGGTATTTTTTAACTCTGTTATTTATTTTGTCTTTTAATCATCTTAAGTACGAATGGTTTTCTGGGACTCATGGAAATTACTCAATCTACGTGGCTATATCTTACTGGATAAAATTGGTACTAAGCTCATGAAACCAGCTAAAATATACGACGTGCTACTTTCGCTACTTCAGTAACACGTAAACTTGATCGAAAATGGTTATGTAATGGGGTGGCCCATTACATAGCGCCTGTCCCGCTCGTGCTCCAAATCCTCGCGCAATCGATCGATTGCGCGATCCATCTCGTATTGGTCGAGATGTGAGCCGAACGACTTGGAGAAGGTTTTTCCTCCTCCCCCACATCCTTTGATGGACTCACACGGTGGTCTACGCTTCCTTGTGGAGCGTATCTTGAACCACCGTGACGATTCAGGGTCAAGGACGAGTAAACTCGTCCAGTGGCGGGGGTATTTACCCTCGTGGAGCAGCTGGGACCCCGCTCCCAGCTGGTGATGGATGTGCCTGGTCTCGTCGATCAGTACGATGTGACCATCCCTTTGGAGGAGGACCATCGTCGAATGAAAGTCCGGCGCGTTCGTAAAGGGATTGTGAAGTCTCAATCTCTTCGTAAATCTCGGAAGAGATACGCGCCCTCCAATAGGGTTGATTAGGGAGGAAGATCTCCCCTGAGGGCGCAAACAGAGTTGTCAATACAGATCTGACATTTCTTTCTCCACGAGAGGAAAGTTAACCCTGTCTCTCAAAACAATCCGTGCAATCTAAAGCGAGCACCGATTATGTCCTTTTAATCAAACTTATTGCGAGCTGCAGTAAGTTTGTCCAGCCAAGTGTCACAGCCAACATTCTCAATGTTGCCGATAAAAGAATTCCACGCATGAACCAACGAGAATTTGTCTCGTTTGTAGTTACCGTGGTACCATCGATGTCTGAAAAAGATATCGATGTAAAATTCATACTCAGTGCGATAATTCTTAGCAATGGGACCAAGTCCATTAATCGTTGACGAGTAAAGGAGTGGAATTCGTCAACTCATAGTGGTATAACCATACCACTGTCTCAACTCGCTCAAGGTAGGCATCCATGGCTTGTTCTAGGGAGTAGATCGCAACGCGTTGCGATCCTGCTCCTCCTGCATGGTGCCGTCATGCGAGATAGCACCACGATCGCCTCAATACCTAGTGTTGCTGCGGCTATGGCTGCAATGACTCCGCGAAGGGTCATCGATATTCTAATGAGGACTGAAGTACTCATGTTTCGCACTCGCATCGTAAGGATACGAGCGCGATCGGTTCGATCCCGGCGACGAGTTTACAGACTTGTCGGATGAACCGAACATCCAATGGCGTAAGATTTTATCGAGACTGCTACGAGGCGCATCAGTCGTCGATCCTGTAACCTTACGTTCGGGCTCTGCGCACGGCTTCAATTCGGACGGAGAATCCGATTCGCTTGAATAGACCACCTCTATCTCGTGATCTTGGTCCATGGGACTACCTCCCGCAGCCGAAGATGCTGAAGGAGCATCACGTGAATGACCACGTGCTCCTGCAACCACGGGAGTTGCGGGCTGCTTACTGGCAGCAGCAGGTGACTTGACACCTGCTGCTGAGTCTTGAATAGCTTATTCTCCGGCTGCACGGATACGTGCAGCCGCTTCACTGGCGGCCTTGTTCACGCAGCGCATAGCTGACTCGTCATGCGCTGAAAGTCTGAATGCTTTGGGTAGAACTAACAAGTGCCCCCTTTCCCACAAAGCGACCCAACGGTGGTCACTCTGTCACCAATTATTTAAACACTCACTGTAGTGACTAATGGTTAAGAGGGGTGATGTAACGGGGCGAGCCTGTTACATTAAAATTGATATCTTAGTATCAATTTTTTAACATTATCGATTTCGATAATGTTTAATTGACATTACTCGTAAGGAGTAATGTTGAAGGAATATTACCCCCGAGGGTAATATTTCTTTTATGGGTTGTTCCATCTGATGGTTGATGTTCACGGTTCATCAACCAGATTAACCACCAATTGCTGCTGGACGCGCGCAATGGGTGATGACCAAGAAACTACATAGGAGATTGTATTTTAATATAGTTAGCTCAAGACAAAGGATAGCTTATTAAGAAACATAACTATATTAAATACAGTTCTACTTTTTCCCTTAGACAGAACTTTCGAGTTTTTCCTACTTCGCTGCGCTTCCTCACGCCACGTGTACGTGACGTCAGTGGCACACAACCTTTTGTGTCGAATTGACACAAGGCGTGCCCCGTTACATTGTATGTACGTCATCTCAAGCTGCCTTGCGTCCTACCTTTAACATTCAACACATAACTGTCCGCGCCGTTTGAATAAGCGCTGTCTCGTCTTATTCGTTTGCCACAATAGAACCAGTTCGACATTTACATATTGAAATATCAGCACATCATATATATTTTACGAAAGGGTCGGAAGCAACGTAGCCGACACATCGAACAACATGAGCACTTCAAGATTCCGTTTGAATGGTCAATGCGTCTTCTCCTTCTTGTGCTTCGAGTAGCGATTGAACAAGTTAAAGGATCAACGATATACGTTCATGCATATGCGTGATTTTAGGTAATGTAAATTTGGTTTATGGTATACATTGGTGGTGTGTTTGTTTATGTTCTGCTAAATTGGCGTATTTTATTGTTTTAATCTTGCGGTGCATTTATAATTATATCTGACTTAAATGGGCGCCAATATTTATTTTACGTGATACTTTGGCGCGTTAGTTTATTCTCCCTAACTAATTTCTGCACCGTTTACGAAGCTACATTATATTTAACGATATGCGGTCGCTCGTCAATACAGACAGTGCATCTATCTATCTACCGATCATCGTTATGCATGCATTCCATCATCACGCACTTCAAAGTTTCTGCTTCCAACGCGCAGCCAGTTTGATACAGAACCTAGCCAAAAGTTTTGAGCGCCCTGATCGCTGGACGGCTGATATTAGGGAGATTTGCGATGCAGGAAACGAGCTCGTGGCTATCGATAGCTTTGTGAGACAAAGAAGGGGGGGGGGTCTGTTTCCATTTTCAGCCACTTATCGATTTGCTCAACCATTGTCAACCTGGAGGCTGTCGACGTCATCTCTGACCATGGGTTTCTACCGCTTCCTCCTTTTGCATAGTGCTGCAATGCTGATGTGTGCCTATAGTTCATCAGGTATATCCAATGGGACAAAGGCAGCGGAGACCGACTACCCAGTTCAATCCCGCTCTTTTGTTGAAGATAAGAACGGCGCTCGTGTTCATCCGCTACCGATAGCTCGCGATGCATCAGCTGGTGAAGAGAGAGCTTTTACCGGGCCGACTGCGCTGATCGAAAATGCCTTGCGCAGTCTTCTTCTCAAGACGATGGGCGTCAAGAATCGTTTCATGGAGACTATCGCCTCGTTCATGTCAAGGTTGCATTTCAAGTACTGGGAACGAAAGGGACACACACCTTCCGATCTCGCTAGGTCGATGAAGCTTTTTGAAGGCGAAAATCTTTTTGCCGGTCAGAAACTCAAGCTGCTGGAACGGTACATCGATTTCTTTTGTCATCAAAGAAATACCGAGATAAAGCTGGTGGACGTGTTGGTGCAAGGCTTCGGTGGCGAGGCCAAGTTCGCACCATTTTTGTATGCTTTTGCAAGCCGAAATCCTGGCAATGCGAAAGCAGACGAGTTGCTGGACGTGTTGTTTGCCAAGTGGCAGGGTGGGAAGGAGAGATTTGAAGACGTGTTCGCAAGGCTGAAGATCAAAGAGGCGGGGTTCGAACATTTGTCGTACAAGCAAATAATGCGTTTGCATCACTATCGGGAGCAATACATCCTTGATACACGCGCAAAAGATGTGAAGACCTTGGGTAGTTTACTGGGCACGGAGTTTGATAGCGAAGGTAAACTTGCCGTGCGTGCTGTCGACAAATTGGAGGATGACGACACTAAAGTGACAGGAAAGCAGATACTACTCGAGCTGTTTGGGGAGTGGAAGTCAAAGTTGATGACCAAGCCTGAAGTTCGCAGCAAGATGTTTTCTGGAATGGAGGACGTGCCAGAGGAACTAATAGAGCGGATCTTGCGTGATTACAAAACTTTCTCCAGCGATAAATGGGTGGCTAAGTGACGCGGTGCAAGGCTGATCCCGGCTTTCGTGATGTGTTTTGCGTGGTAGCTTGACCGAATCAATACAACTACTCTTTTCAGATGCTAGCTTTCAGCCAATTTGTTTGGAACATCACGTACGTGAGTGAGCTCGTGTCGCATGATTGAAGTAACCTAGTGATACGCCAGTAGCGCTAAGTTGAGAACTTGAATGGCTGTACTGGATACAGTCAGTGGTAGACAACACAAGACCGATGGCGTTCGTAAACTTTTGTAGGAGCAACTGTAGGTCAGGTGTATGTATGTATGTATGTATGTACGCTAGGACTCCTCTTCTTTGCCGAAGTACGAAAGTTGCAAGTGGTTCACGCGTTCGTCGCAGCGCAAAACTACAACAGCTGCATGTAATCCGTTCGCTTTGCAGAAATACAATACGGGCATAGTTGAAGGAAGGTATACGCTCAAGATGCGCAAGAGCCTGGCCCCGCACCCTTTTGCCGAAACTTACAAGAACTAACGCGACATAGGCTTCGTGGAGACTATCAGAATGCATAAGGTGCATTGTCAAATTGATGAGCGGGTCAGATGAATCAAGCAAGGTGCTGCAAGAAACAGCCGCAGTAAGTATTTCATGCGTCTCCGTAAAATTGGCTCTTGAAGCATAGAGTGCAAGACGTTGGAGTGCTGTTTTAGTTCTGTATCAAGAGTGGAGATCCGAATGGAGCCCGTGACCACCAACATTGCTCGACTTGTCGTTCAAGATGCGGTCGAAGCAAAAATTGCTCGTCGACAGAGCAAATCTTGTTGTTAATGAAAACACGTCACGGATTGTGCTGTCTACTTTGCCTAATGCAAGCGATTTTGGGGTACATGGACGAAAGAATGGCTTCAGTAGATTCGATGCGAATATTGTTGAGACTATTGTACGATACGTAGGTAGATTCGGAGCGAACATTGTTGAGACTATTTTTCGATACGTAATACGAATAGCGTTGTGCGGTCGTCGAATGTATACCAGGGAAGGCAAAATGCTTCAACTTTATGCAAACAACATTCTGTAAGTTTGTCTCTTCTGTACAACTCAAACAACCGCGATCTGTCTAGGTGTCTTTCGATGGCAAACAGCAATGTCAAGTGAACTGACATGCTTTGGACGGCTCAAGAGCACACGAGGCGCCTTCGCCGCGATTGTTCAACGCCTTTTCGCTCGTTTACTCAAGCGTCTTGTTGATGGACTCCTCGCTGAACAAAGGCAGACATGTGGCTCCATTCAATGAGCAGCCCATTATCTCGCGCAGCGATCACTTTCCATCTCTAGTCGTAATGTATGACTAGCATTACCCAATACAGAGGCTTTGTTTTCGAGCTACCCTTTGTTCATTTTCTGTCATCTTGCTTGACCTTCTCAGCTATTCCTGCAGCACGCACTCGAAAAGCGGTCCACTGAGCAACATGCGCAATATTTTGTCCCGAAAACGAGGTCAAGTGAGTTTGGGTCAAACCGTCGTGCGAGAAGTAGAGCAGTTCGAGCATGCGACGTGCATACTTCTACTCTTGATGCCTGCACGTCCGAGCGAGACACCAATGATCGATGCAAGCGACCGACCGGCAAACACGTAAGCAACAATGTTTGAAATCCAATTGTTTGCACCGCACAAGCTTCTTACAAGCCGATGAGCTACAAATAAAGGGAGGCGGCGAAAACAATGTCGCGTTTGAGCTTTTTGCCTCCCTCGTCAAACTTCTTCTCCAGCTCGACGTCGCCAATAGAGTGTGCAGCCAGTGTAAGTTGGCGTAGCAGCTCTTCTAAACGACGCAAACAACGAATGATTGTACCTTCGAACGCGTCCGACATCTTGCAAATTTGCGAAAACTTGGCACCCTGGCACCAAGCAATGACAACGTCCACCAGACTCGTGTTGAAAGCACCAGCGTACTCGTCGACATCAATCGTAATCTTGGCGTCCTGCATCACTCTCGCAATGCGCTGGGCCGCCTCGCGCAGCTGGCGAACAGGGGCCTCAATGTTTTCAGCTTGCGGCGGCTTGTCGCTGTCCTTCTTTTTCTCCGTGTTGATCAGGCAGCTCAGCAACGCCACCGTGTCATTAACGGACAGATCGTTGAATTGACCGGTGAATATCATTTCAGTGACCAGCAACTCGTCCGTCGTTGACACCTCACATGCCGTACGGCCCTTGCGCTGAATCACGCCCTCTTTGTCGACAAGTTCGAGTCGTCGCAGAACTCGCCGACGACGACGCAGGTCGTCACGCAGCACGAGCGACTTGGCCTCCGTAATCTTACGCTCGAGCTCACGCATCTTCGCCTCACTCTCGATCTTGAGGTTGTAAAGCGCGAATCGTGCCTCCTTGTCATCCGCGCGATGGAACGCCGAGCTCCCAAGTTTCTTTTCAGCTTCGATTGTCTTCTCAATCACACGCAAAAACTGCTCGTCCTGAATATCCATGTCTTCACGCGGATCCAGCAGCGGCACCCCCTGAGGAAATCGCCGCAGCACCTCCTTCACCGACTTTCCTACTGCCTGGCGGCTGTCTATTGTGCGCAAGTCCTTCGGAATGTACACTCGCAGCGATGAGACAAGGTCCAGCAACTCCAACGGCACCGGACAAATCTTCATCTCGAAGGAGGAGGATGACAAGCCCATCATATTTAATGGCGCTGGTGTAGGCAGCTCCGATGCCGTGCTCCCATTCGTGGCATCGTTCGACTTCGTGGCACCATTGGTCGCTACGCAGTTCAACAACACGTGCACGATCGTGTCCGGCGCTGATGAAGTCGAGTCAGTGGCATTTCTGGTCGTGAAATTCACAATGACTCCCCAGTCCCATTCGACCTTACTCGAGCCGTCTTCGCTGTGTGGAAAGTAGAGCTTCACGAGACGACCACCGTTCAAAAAGCGAACAATGTGCTCAGGCTTGTTGCGGATCGCCAAGAACTCTTCTTTGAGACGCACAAGAGATCGAGACAGGTAGTAGTACTGCGCAACTTCTTCCTCATTCTTGATCACAATCTGGCCCTTTTCCTCCTTGGCTCGCTCAAGCGCTTCCTCTAGCGCTGGGGCAGCTTGCTCGTTCTGAAACTGATGAAACGACTGCTTAATCATGTATTCCGGGTCGGCGTCTTCCACACGCATCAAGTTCAACAGCATGTTGTAACCGAGGTGAAAAGTACTGAGAAGAGGGTCGGCCTGGCCGTACAGAATACCTTTAGCGACCTGCGGTTCCATCTGCATGCTCAGCATCTGAATGACGATACCACGTGCATCGAGAGAGCGACGACCAGCACGTCCAGACATTTGAATGTATTCACCAGCAGTAATCCACCTGAAACCCTTGCCATCGTACTTGCGGCAATTAGTAAACACGACCGTCTTGGCAGGCATGTTCAGACCCATGGAGAACGTCTCAGTGGCAAAGAGACATTTCAACAAGCCTTCACTAAAGAGAATCTCAATCACCTCTTTCAGAATCGGCAGAAGACCACCGTGGTGGATACCAATGCCACGACGGAGAAGCGGCAAGATCGAGTCTACCTGCGGGAGCGAACGATCATCGTCTGACAGCGAGTCCATTGCATTCTTGAATAGCTGGTCGACCGACTGCTTCTCCTCTTCCGTATTGAAATCAAGTTTGGACATCAGCAGCGCGTACGACTCGCACTCGCGCTTGCTGAACGAGAAAATGATCACCGGGTCGTACTGGCGCTCCATAATGAGCTTTACGATGCGGAACACGTCTGAGCCCACTTTCTTCTTTGGATTCGTCTTTTGCGCTTTGCGTCGCTTTGTGTTGCTGCCATAAGACGCCAACTCTGTTGCCGCATCATCCGCTGACGCTGCCAACGTTGCAATGGCCTTTTGGAAATTATCTTCACGAAACTTTCCCTTTTCGTCCACCACTAAATGCAGTCCGCTTCCTCCTGCAGGAAAAAGGTAGTGCTGCAGAGGTGTTGGACGATAGTCCGTGTACACAACGTGACACGGTTGGTGGTGAATATGACAGATCCATCCAGCAAACTCTTTCGAGTTTGGGATCGTTGCTGAAAGAAAGACAAAGCGCACTTTGTGTGGCAACAAGATGATACTCTCTTCCCAGACAACACCCCGCTCCTTGTCCCGCATGTAATGGATCTCATCGTAAATGACCCACGCCACTTCACGCATGACTTCTGACCCACGATAGAGCATGCTACGAAGGATCTCTGTCGTCATGATGAGACAAGTAGCTGACGGGTTGATCGTAATATCGCCCGTCATAAGCCCCACGTCGCCAAACTCTTCTTCCAAGTCCCGGTACTTTTGATTGCTCAGTGCCTTGATTGGCGACGTGTAAATCACGCGCTGCTTGTCTCGTAGCGACTTGGCAATCGCATACTCGGCGACCGCTGTCTTGCCTGCCGACGTGTGGGCAGACACTAGCACTGACTCTCCTGCCTCAATAAAGTCCACTGCTTGTTGCTGGAACGGATCGAGAGTGAAAGGATACGTTTTGGCAGGATTCTTGCCAGCAGCTCCTGCAGTCGCTTGAACAGGATACTCGGGTGGATACACGGAGAACGAAATGAGGTTCTTCTGTTGTGTACCAGTCGACACGACGCCCCGTAGACCGTTTGATGGAGAGTCGCTGTCTTCAATCGCTGTCGCATCAATGCGTTTGCCTTCCACGACTTTGAGCGTCGTCGACGCAAGAGGCGCTTCGTGTTGTGGATGTTCTAATTGCTGCTGTTTCTTGGCTGGCGGAGACGGCTCGCGGCCGTCTTCGACATCGGACGCAGGAGCTTCTTTGCGCTTCGACGCGGCACAGGCAGCCGCTTGTTCCTTGGGCGTCAGCGTCGCGGACGAATCGTCAAAGGCGCTGAACAGGTCGAGGTCGTGGTCGGCCATCTCAAAAGACGTGGTCGGGTAGAATCGACAGATGGGTACACGAACTACTGGCTGGCATGGTGTTTAGTGTGTCCCACACACTAACCCTCGCAAATGGCCAGTTTTGTAGTTGATGGCAACGAATTTGGTCCAACTGCTCAATTGCATTTGCTCGTTTCTAGGTACAATTTCGTAACTCATCAGGTGTTACTTTCACTGCTTCACTCGCCACAGTGCTTTCGTGGACGAGCTGTCCTCCAGGTTATCATCATTTTTGGAAAGGTTCTACATGTGGCGTCGGCGACGCTCGTTCTGGGCGTCTTCGGTAGAGTCCAGAACGAGTTGTAGAGAGAATGGGCTATAAAAAGTTACAGGAGGATACTTTTAGTGTGGCTCGTTGCATCAGCACATAAGACGTAAAAAGCTATTTCGTCTATAAAAACAGGTGGTTTAACATATAAATTTAACCCGAACAAGTTAAGGTTTGAGTAGTTGTTGAGATTGAGGTATATTGAGGAACGATTAGCGACCAGCAATACCCTGGGGATGCTCAGTGCATTACAAATATCAATTTACAGTTTGCAGAGAACCACAGAAGCAACCCGGCGACATGCCTGGATACAACTAGCCGAGAGTAGCCATCAAGAAGGCCGTGTATCTTTCCGTCCTAATGACATAGGCTGCAACGGGTGCCACCTTTCCAACCGGTCCACCATCAACTTCATCCCCCTCTACCTTTTAGATCTCTCTCAGGATCTCGTTTCGGTCAGCTCTAGCCAAGCATGTACCATCTTCGATGCGAATAAGAAGCTATGAACTTGACGTAGGGTTTCCAAACACGCAACTGCTTTGTCTCAGCATCAAGTAGCGTGCTTGAGCGTATTCTCTGCACCTCAATCTCCTTTGGGCCAATTTTGCTACTCTCCACTTCATACGTAAGTTCGAGACTTGGAAGTCGAAGCAAACCTTTCTGAGTTCAAAGCAATTACAGATGGCGAAGATTAAGATCTTGGCCCACAGCTACCGGACATCGCACGGCAGTGAGCCGCAATCCTCTCGTCGCTTCAATCAATCGTTTCTGCAGGCGGCAACGACAGTGAAGCCGCTAGATACCAACGTCCATAGTGCATGCTCTACGAGGTGTCAGTGGTGTAGCAGCGCCAAACCGGCTTTTATGTATACAATGCGAATTGCATGGTAACGTGTTCAGACTTTTTCAGGCTGGATTCGGTAGCGTAGGCGCTGATTGATTTCGAGGGCCTGTGTGCTCTGGACATGCCGAGCCGTTTGATCGCAGAGTAATAGAATAACACATCCTCTATTCTTCCTTGCTCATGATTGGCAAGGCTAATGAATGCGATCAGCCGGCCCGGTTGTGAGCAGCCTAACAAACAAGTTAGAATCTTGACATCGACTCAAGCGTCATGAAAGCAATTGTCTAAGGGAGCGTGCTTGTTGTAACCATAACAGCTATTTATCCTACGGGAAACACTTTGACATCAGGTTCATCTGGTGTATGGGGGAAGCGAGTTGCCTGCAGTACAATGCTTGTATACAGGCAAGACCTACATCGCGCACAAACGCACGATCTGTTTTAGGCGTGATCCATATCCTTGTTTTCACACGCTGTCGTGAAGATATAGGTGCATGTAAGCGATACCCAATCACATGGGGGTGTTTCATGTGTATCTGATTCCTGATCTGTAGATATGCCCTCGGTATGAAGTCACTGAACATTTTGGGTCACCTGCGATCCCATAGCAAGATGAAAAGCGGGTAATACTGGATTGGTCGCAGATAAAAAAGACGCCATCTTGTTTTCCATATCGAGAACATTGCAAAAGTAAAGACTAAGATGCCTGATAATAGCCCACCAAAAGAGAATCACGCCGAGATCGAGAATTCGAGAGAGACATTATCTGGACTGAATCTCACCGTTTGTTGATGTTTTTGTCTGCTGGAGAACTAGAGCTGCATCTGGCCGCTACAAGATCAGATCATTTACGTCGAACGACGTCGCCCCTTGACGTATTTCCGACGGTTACTGAGTGGTAGCGAAATTAGATCGAAGGCACACCATAGAGACCTACTTGTCGACTTTTATCTTTCCGACTGAACGTAAGAAGACCGGGGGCATCATCGAAAATAAAGCCCATGAAGCGTAAAGGAGAAGTTGCACAACAAAGTGGAATGATCGGTTAACAAGAGGTCGGAGATTATGTGTTGTATTGTTGTTCATGTGTTGTTCAAAACACACGAAGTCACGCCTAGGTCGCCACATACTCTGCTACATATGTACTTGTATCCTTGATCTTTGGCCCATTATTTCTCCGCTGCACTCATTACGGTTTATGTGAGCACTACGAGTGCAATATGTCTGCTTGTTATTCCTGTTTTACAAGCAAAAGCTGGCGTTTGGCTGAATCTGCGACTACACGGGGACCAAGTGGTGCTGCCATGTACCACGAACCTCAATGTTAGTGACTTCGTTGGACAAAGCGACGCTTCAGGTCGGCATTTATACCGTGCTGGCGCGTGTCCATCATTCCTTGACCGAAACGAGTAGCTTCTGTATCAATTATCCCCTGTATCAATGATGGACGCGTAAGTTCCAGCAGCTGATTGCACGCGGGGCCAATGTAAGATACATCGACGTGGATCCAGCAATCTTGACGATTCCTCCATTACAACTTTGCAAAAACGATGAGCCTAGAAAGTCTTTGTTGTTCGCTGTTGAATAGTATTGCGCTGACGAGGCAATAAGAGAATGACAGCTGCATTTCCGATCAATCAGTTGCGTGAGACACGCAGCCACTTTGGAAGGCTTCGTGTACCTGAAGCGGCCGATTCTAATCCCCGGAATTGTCCCGCTCGACTATCGATCGAACGTGTGATTCGTCCGGCAAACGGACTCGCATTCCAAGTGACCCCTGTACTTCTGGTCGCACATTATAGCAAAATAATGCGTTATCATTTTGTCGGCCTTGACTCAGATGCAGCTAAAACTATGATTATAACAAATTTGTCTGCGCTATAAATTGAGCAAATTCCATAGGACCACATTGTTCTTGACCAATTTTGTCTACCCTTCCTAGTGTTTTGAGAACACGTTACTGCAATTTGGGCAAGCGAAAAGAGGCGACCTATTTTGCTGACAAAAGAATCACTTAGCTCAACTGTTTTTTTGACATGGACCCAGCGAAATGGCAAGAATGGCCACACGCTTTTGCGGAAACGGCCGACGGCATTCGTGTCCACTATGTGGACGTCGGTCCAAAAGACGGCCTGCCCATAGTGATGGTGCATGGGTGGCCGGACCTGTGGTTCGGGTGGCGCGTGCGTCCAGCTTTGACGAAGCAAATCTTATCTATCGTTTTAACGCTTTTACTGATGCTTCTTTTCTCCCGTTTCTCCAGCACCAGATTCAAGCACTCAAATCCACGTATCGACTGATCGTGCCGGGTATAATCCAATTTTACAACCAGGTTACTATAAACAACAACGACCCTAACAATGCTACTGATTATCAGATGTCCGTGGATTCGGACAAAGTTCGAAACCGCCAAGTGTTAACGCCTACGGAGCCAAAAACATTTCCAGGGATCTGGTGACTTTGCTGGGTCTGGCCTGTCTTCATATTGAGTAGGAATGCCGGCACATGTATTGAACTAATGTTCGTTGTGATGTGTCCGTGACGATGTAGATACCTTGGAGATTACGAAGGCGATCTTTGTAGGTCATGACTGGGGCGGCCAGATGGTATACCGCACTTGTCTCTATCACCCTGAACGAGTGATCGCCGTCTGCGGAGTCTGCACTCCATACTTTCCACCAAAAACAACCTACGTGCCACTGGGAGTCATGGTAGAAACGATGCCGCAGTTCAAGTATCAGCAATTCTTGGCCAACACTGATGTATCGGCGAAGGTGCTGGACGCCTCACCGCGTCGGTTGCTGACTTCGATCTTTCGCAAGTCTTCAGATATGGAACGAGCTTCAGCCCAGATGTCGCTGCAACAGATGCTCATGGCCGTCGATTCGGACGTGGATCACCCGGTCTTTACGCAACGATCGGCACTGCTTTCTGAAGCTGAGCTGGACTACTACGTGGAGCAATACACAGCCAGCAAGTTTGCGAGCACGTGCCAGACTTATGCGACGGGAAAAATCGACTTTGATGATGAAAGGGGGCTACCAAGTGTGATTGGGCATCCAGCGCTGTTCATCGGTGCTGCCAAGGACCCGGTTCTCAAACCCGAGATGGCGAGTGACATGCCCAAGTTTATGCCCAATCTCGAAATGAACGTGATTGATGATGCGGGACATTGGGTGCTTTGGGAGCAAAAGGAAGCGGTGAATGCGGTCTTGTCAAAGTGGCTGGCTAAGATAGCTGCAGGCGTGGACGGCACGAACCCAGGAACGAAGTTGTAAACGTGTTCGCTGTGCTGACGCCAAGTTTCCACAGTAGTAAGATTTGCGTCACTGGCAGTTTTGAAAGCGAGGGAGACTTTCAATCGATCGCATTCTTGTCAAGGGTGCCTAAGTACGTGCCAGAGAGTCAGTCGAGCTTTACGAGCAACGCTTTGACTTATATTACCAAGCTAGGTGACTGTTACACCATTCGATCACTTAGCTCTATTGCGTATTTCGTTGGACACTGCCACCCTTCGAGAGCCCAAATCCCACTTGAATCCTAATCAGTGGTTCCTTGTGAGCACAATTGACTATGGTACAAGCCACGGATCTCAGTCAAGTCAGCATGTTCGAGCCCTATACGTGAATAATTGCGTATGTGAGCCCTGAACGTGTGTGATGGTCGTCGAGAAGTGATAAAGCTTACCAGCAAATACAAGTCAAAGGGACCCCCACCATTGTCGTGTTACACAAACGACTAATGCTAATGATAGTAGACACGTCGCGCGTTTACTGTCCATCTTTGCTTTACTCGTTGGCTTTCGCGCAACAGGATGTTGCATTGAAAACATGCACCGTCGCTTGATCAGCATTTACCCGACGATAGACAGATGCCTGTGGTCTTCATCAGAGCCCGATGCGCAAGAGCTAGAGGCGCCAGTATGAAGAGTAAAAAAGACGGCTGTGTCATTGTGCTCGTTGCGTCGTGTACACTATGTCTTTGCGTTCTGTAGGCCTATACTCACGGTAAGCTTACAGACTGCTAGCATGCTCATGCAAGCCAAAGGATGAGTACCATTTCTCATTCACTGTTGATGCTTGCTGCATACTGGGCGTACACACCGTCTGTCCGCCACCTACATTCGTGTGCCTGTTTGTGATGCAAGGCAAGTGCTGCTGGCAGATGACAAAGCCGATGTGAAGTGTGCTTGACGGTGGCTTTTACCGTTGCATCAAAAGGACGTAATCTACGCCGATCTAAAGGCTGATCAAGATCAAGTGGCGGCAGAAGAAGCCACTGGAAGACAGGATGTCAGACCAGGTTGTGGTCGAACATTTCCAGGCTGAAAACATCGGACCCCGTCGAAGCAGCTGTGGCCACGATCACCAATTCAAAAGCAAAGTCGATAGCGGTTCGTTGCGTCTACAACATCATAAATCAGGTGTCTCATGCACTGCACGATGCAGCTTGTAACGTCCGGTTCTTCCTTTGACGCTCCATGGATTCCAACTCGCCGCTTCAACATGATCCAGCATTGCCAACACTGTTGATGGGTCACGTTGGGATGGAATTGCCTGATGCTCATTGCAGGTGCTATGACCTGTCGATTGATTCGAAGCAACTAGTTACCATTTGTGAGATCTTCCATCCATGTGCGCATCAAGCGCTATCCATGGCATCGTCATCCCATGACTTGCTTGTCCGTATGGAAACCCAGCGGCATGTCGATGCCATCGTCGCCAGGTCAGAGCACTTTCTTTCATCGAGTAGTACATGATGCGATTACAAAACAACGCCAAGGTCGTTGGTGCGCTGGAGAGGATTTGACGAAGACTGAAACGGCGTCCACGCCGTTCATCAATGTGTCGGTTGTATGAGTAAAGGGAGGTGCAGGCCACCCGAAGCGCAATGTGCAGCTGCTGAGCCCTGACAACTTCGGGCTGCGCATAAAGGCATGTGGTTGTGGAGGTACTTCACAAGCAGTGACACGACAGAGAAGACGTCGCCCTGGCTCTCTCTGATCCCACCGTGTGCACACGGCAGACGGTCTCGGCACCAAACATGATCTGCTTCCATTACTTAGGGCGCGTCATGTCGCTACTGCTTCTCGTGCGCATACTGCGAGACTCGATCGACTGCATCAGAGACCACGAGTCTGCTTCGACCGTGACGAAACACTCGATAACTAATTCCCGTGGCTACAGCAACAGCTCAGCTGCTGATCAGCGACGCACACATGCATCAGCAAATGCATTTCAGCGACAGGAAGCGGCACTTCCTTCTGCAGGAGCATGGCCAAACCGTTTGCCAAGCACGTCGCCATTCGCAGTTCGGCCGCGGGCGTCGAAGCGACACCTGAGTCCGCCGATGAGAGTCCAGAAGAGCGACTGTCAACTCATCGCCTGCGCGAGTTCTTCTTCGAAAGCCGCAACGAGACTTGTGCTTGTCGACGTGACAACGTCTGTGGTGGTAACTCGTTGAAGCGGGAGCATCGTCTATACGTTTTCGTACGTGTATTGATTGGGCTTCTTGGCCCCGCCGTGCACACTTCTCTCTGCGGGACCCGTTGTCGTCATAGAGCGTACTGTGTCAAGACGGCTCGAGGCGCTGTGTGGATAAACGCTTTGTGCCCTGTCACGACGACGGAAATCGTAGAGTCGATGTGGATGTGCCGCCAGGAAACGGCGCGAGTCAGTTTTTGGTGAGCTCGTCGCTGGTGTATGTTATGCTCCCGTTGCGGGCATAGACGCGACGGCTTTGCGCTTTTTTTTCACGTGGCCGTCGCGTTGGTGTGGACCAGACAGCAGCACTCTGGGGATCGGAGGCGCGGGCGCAGCGCGCGCGCACTGTCCAATCTCAAGTGTCGCGCGAAAATTGGGTCAGGGCGCTCCCTCGTCTGCGGCAGCTCCACGGCCGTCTTTCGTTTTGTGGACAGCCGAAAAGCGGACAATGTTCACTCGGACACGATGATCAGTCAAAAGCGCCCACCCGAGTCTATCTGTCAGTCGGTCTGCCCTATCTGTCAGTCGGTCTGCCCTATCTGTGGGTCTGTCTGCCCTATTCGCTTGCGGCCGTGGCATTCCTTAAAGAGCTCCTCATTCTGCAAACGCGTCGCTCGACCGCAAGTGATTCGCCTTTTAATTCCGTCGACCGACTGACCGACCGACTGACTGACTGACCGACTGGCAGTCGCCACTCGATCGCCACTCTGGTGCTCCGCGCGCCCCGTCATGAACAAACGCGTCCCCGCCACGCGCATGTCGCTACTCAATGAGTCGGACGCCTCGGGACGGGAACTGCGGCTGTGGCTGCTCTCGGCCACGACCGTCCACGGCGTGACGTACTACCGCATCGCCGGGCGCTTTGCTTCGAGTGGGCAGACGTGGGAAGTGAGTCACCGGTACTCGGAGTTCCTCAAGCTGCGGGACCAGCTCGCCAAGTTCCTGTCGGCGTCCACGGACAAGTGTCCCGGCTGCCGCAACTACCTCCACTCGATCCAGCGCTTTGACTTTCCCAAGAAACACCTGTTTGCGTCGCGGGCACCGCCTGTGGTGAATTACCGGGTCAAGGCCCTGCGGTCGTTCCTCAATTTGCTCGCGTCGTGGGCGTTCAGTAAGACGCCCAAGTGCCCGACCTGTGGGGGCTCCGCTTTTGACATGGTGCGGACTTTTGTCCTCGAGGGCGACAGCATCTCGTCGGACAATGCCGATATGAATGCCATTCGAGAGTCTGTGACAGTGGCAGCGTTTGCGAAGCCGAATCCAGCGAGTTCGAGAGGCGACGTTGGGAGCCAGAGCTGGATGACGGCGAGCTCGTCGGGCGACGCTGATACGACGCAGAGCATGGAGGGGATGCTGCCAGAAAGTCAGCAGAAGGGACTCCGTGACGAGCCGTCGACCGATGCACCGGTAACACAACAACAGAGAGCACTGCATCACCAGCGTTCTCATGATCAAGCGTCGAGTGGTCGCCGACTGCAAGCGCAGGAAAAGCGCTACCAGGACGACGATCCCTATGATGCGTTCAACGACTATTTGCCAGAGAGACTGTCGAATATCAAGAAGATGACGCAGTCGAGCATGGAGCAAAAGACCCAGAAGGGCAAGTTCTCGTCCAGACCGCTGCACGAAGTGATGGAGGAGCGACACCAGCACGAGGAGAACGACGACGCGGCTCGTGCGTATGAGGAGAAGCTGCGGAAGCTACGAGACGGGCCACGGTACGTCTCAGCACGCCGTCCAATGGCAGACAGTGAGCGGTCGACCAGCTCGAGTGCTTTGGAGAGTCCGCGGTCGAGTAAACGGGGGGTGGGTCGCCACAGCTCCAACAGGGAGAGCTTGGTGTCGGACCAAAACACGGTTTCGACAGAGCCTGGGTTTGTTCATGGCGACGACTGCGACGTCGGGGACGCCGAGAAGGAGGACAGGAGTTCCGCCAGTAGCGTATATTCCGGGGACGACGAGATTGAGCTCACGGGCGTGGCCATGGCGTCGCCCCAGCATGTGCGCAAAAAGAGCAGCGCAGACAATTTGTGGCAGCCGTGGGAGCTCTCGAAAGAGTCTGTCCATGGCTCGGGTCGATAGGTCCTTTCGTGAGAGAGCAGTACGACGGGGAATGGTGAAGCTTAGTAAAGAGCAGCGGCCGCGTGATTGTGGCCGACGTCTGTAGGTTCACTATACACCGTCGGACACTTTAGGTGGGTAAATGAATTTTGGTATTGGTTTGGTGATTCCTTAGCTGAATGAGTTTCGCTGGAAATGACGAGTGCAAGCAGGTCGTGGAACCGGGGGATGGTAAGAGTAAGACGAACAGACTGTTTGTTGCTCACAACCTCTGCGTGCATCGACATTTACAGCTGAAGACATCATTGGTGTGAAGCGCCTCATGTACCTGCCAATGTCTTTTGTTACATCAGTACCGTCAATTGAAGCAGCCCATGTGTTAACACAATCGTTTGCACATGTCACTTACTCACTGGCTTTATGTGTAGCGGCTGTCCACATGTCGCAACTCGTCGCGTCACATTGACATCACGGTATTGTACACATAGATGGGTCTCGTCCGCCGTTACGTTGGTGTAACGGTGAATAAGGTCGCAATCAGACGAATAACGCCAATGAAGACACGTGTATGATTACGATGTGGAGGGTAAGCGAAGGCTGCTGGTTCGCATTACGCAACAGCAATGAGCGCGTGGGCCTCATTTGAACAAAAAGCATCGAAACGCATGACTCAGTCCTGTCGTTTGCTGATTACATTGCAACGACCGTTGCAATCTGGCATCGCCGTTCGCACTTGTGTCGATGTGACGAGGGAGCATGTACCATTGTGACACTCCGACATCCGTACGTGATCTACGTTCTGTACAGCTCTTTTTCATGAGCAAGTATAGCAGCTAACTTGCGTACACTCGACAAGTCTTATGCAATTGACACACATTGTACAAGCCATTACCTATGTCACAAGGTCAAGCACATCAAATTCGTCTAGACAAAAGAGGAAGCTCTTGAGAAAGCTTTGGATCTCGCCCTTCGATACCAGTCATCCATTCCAGAGAACTGTGCCAGTTTTATAAGAAGCTCTTAGTCGTGTTGGCTAATATTGAAAGAGTGCATGATGTTGCTTGCGACACAAGTGAAATGTACCCGGCGAACGCGGTCTGCCTCTGCTCTTCCACCTTTCGTGGCGCTAGACTCTTTGACTCCTAATTTCGCACAGCTTTTGGACGTGCGCAAGGTGTGTGAGTGTGCCAAACTCTTGACAGTGTGACCATAGTCAAATTGTAGATCTTTCTCTTGCTTGCCCATGTAACGGGGTAGCCCGTTACATGAAATTGACATTGAAACAATTTGACAATAAAGAATATTACGTCGAATATTCTTTTAACAATATCACAAGACATGGTGATATTGTTGAGATGACCGAAGGGTCTACTCATTGGCTGATATCGTGGTGATATCAACCCACCAATCGCTGCTAGACGCGCGCAATGGGTGGTGAGTAGACGTCATCATACGTTTAGTTACATTGATAAATTAAGTCAGGACAACAGAAGATTCAAGGAGTTATAGGACTTGATTATATTAATACAGTTTTACTTTTACCAGAGACTAGTCTGACTACTTAGTCTCCTTTCCTTCCTCTGTGTTCCTTTAACACCTAGTAGGGCACTGTCGACCACTGTCGTCAGTGGAAGTATAGTCCGTACTGGTCAACCAGTACGTAGTCAACAGTGCCCCGTTACAGCCCAGGTTTACAACCACGCTGTCCAGCGCCTGCTCCTGGCCCTGGATGAGTAAAAGCATCATTAAACACGGTATCACCTTTGCTTGATGTAGTATGACATTACAAGATGTACATTTACAAGTTGGTTTTGGACTCCATCTTCTTCTGTGTCGACGTCAAATGAACTTGCTAAGGCAAACCAAAGAATAAACAAAACACGACGCTACAAAAATAAAGAACAGTAATCCCTTCACTTCACGACGATCGAAATGAGACGATCATTTGTAGATTGTGCATCCCCGATGACATTGTCTACGACTGCTTTCCTGATCATGTACGAGAGACCGACATTCTGGTAAACGTTGGACGCCATTTTTACTACCTCGCACACGGCTAGGTAAAGTGTATTTCCTGACCCATTAGCTGGTTAGAGCACAATGAAGTTGCTCGTGACGAACTATTGACAGCCGTGATGCATGTAATTGTGATCCCGTCCTTTGTGAGCCTTTTTTTGTATCATGTGACAGACTTCAACATCATGTGCAAGAAGCCTCGCCGCGACCTTATAGTATTCGTCGAATGATGTACCATTGTTGGCGGGTGTCCGAGTCACGAGAAGCTCCTATTCATCCTAAAAAAAGGAGCTCACATCGAGATCGATAGGTAAGCAAGGAAGCTTGCTTGACGACGGCTCTCACGGCCCTCCTGCTGCCGTACAACATAGCTCACACATTTACAACTGCCATTTCCCCCTTAGCTCTGCATGAACCGTCCCCCTCGCAGATCTCCAAAAGACACGTATTTATTCGATTAGCTTGACCCAGACGGCTACGCATCGCATACGAATGGTTAATGATGGCTGCGCGTACTCTGTCTAGCCTGTCATGAATTTTGTAATTACCTCTATCATCACTAGATGAAGGGTTTGGGCCCGACTCGATCGGTATGGAAAAGGTGGACTGCAAGGTTTAGAAACCTGATAGAATGGACGTTCTTGAGATGAAGGATCGATGCACTACACTGCATGAAAAAGAGTACAACATGTTTCACAATTGTTGCGTGACTTTTCATGTCAAGAAGCTGTTTATATCATTGTTATAATCTCTACCAGCAACGTACAAGCAGACGCAAATCATTTATCGGTGTAGAAATATAAAATGAAGCTTCTGTCGAACATACAGTCAACGCGAGGTGGCAAGATCTCTTTACCACTGCTTAGGACATGTCACAATTACGATCTACTATCAAGATTTTTTAAGTAATGTTTAAATCATCCTAGTATTTGATTTCAAATTCTATATGGTTACTCCTTTAAATTTGCAGTCGTCAAATTTAGACTCTCCTGTGACGGTAGCAAATGATTCTGCCCAATGTTATATATGAAAGAACATATCATTTCCCTCTGGATGCCTCTAATATATATATACATATATATGTCTGCATAGTGGCAATTTCTGGAAACATTAACTGCGTAAGTATTTTAGAAGCGTCGAATTTTAAGTTGAAATGGTGTGAGCCGGTTACGTGTCATTGACATCAAAAGTTGGTTGATAATTTTTTACCGTAAAAAATGTCTTCTAATATAAACATTGCAAAGTAAATATATTGGAATTCCTGCCGTCAGATCTAACATCCGGCAATCATCTAGTCATTGTTTGAATCAGACCATGAATCAAACAAATAGTCACCAATCGCTGCTAGACGCGCGCGACGGGGTGAACAGGTGGATATATTTTGGAGTCGTAGTACAATGCAATAAATTAAGGTCAAAGAGATTCTTTTGGGAAGGCTTCAATCACAGAACATGTTTAGTTTTACTTTTCCCTTCTACTAAGCGTCTTCATGAAATAGTGTTGCCTTCCTATACACGTACAGTGTACGTGGGGTTTCAATGCGCTAGTCTACACTATACTATGTCAATACAATTTAAGTGTGTCAGTCGAAGAGTCCAATGTCCCGATACATAAATGAGAGGGTCTAGATACGATTTAGGTAAGAAAGGCGATGGTGAATTTCGTGCTTATTCTCGACCATATAACTAGGGATTTGTTATTCATCACTCAACCTTTCGTTCACCAGCACCCACCCCACAAACTATGGTCTCTGATTGGTTCAAGTGGCGAATCAGAACTTAATATTCAACGACTTCTCTGACCCCCTAACAACAGCCTTGCACTACCATTTTGACCACCTTTCTTCTCTTTTAACCCACAATGAACAACCTTGCACCCCCTGATACCAACGTTTTGCCGCACGCATTTATCTCTCAAACAGATCAAATGCATTGTGTTCAACAAACTGCAAATCAGTGTCTGCCCAACAATACTAGCCCTAAATCCATCAGTACCAATTATTCAAGTCACATAACTGGGGTTGCTGTTTGGAAAAGCATACCTGTTATTAGGGATTTCAATTCGTCAAAATAATAAATTTTGGACTTCTAGACCTACTACTGACGGTAAAACTACCGGTAAAGTTAAATCTACTGGTGCTGGTGCTAATGATTGACGACAGGTGCAGGAATTATGGCAGGTTTCTTGACAGATCCTACATCTTCGGAGTCGCACTGGAGCACCCAAAGCAGCATCCACATGCTTAAGCAGCGATGGTAGTCGCTGTGTCGACCCCGTTGGACGACCACGTGTATGCACTTCCACAGGATCACGATAACCGGTCTCAGGGACTGCCAAAACATGGTCAAGGAGAATGCGCTTGCAATTGTTTGTGTCATCGACATATTCGTCTTCAATACTCTTCAATGCTGTCTGGATTGAAACTGTAGATGGCACGACCGTGACATCCTTCAGCATTGGTGGCTGGTCCAGCCATTAGTGTTGATCGAAATCATTGACCGATAGTGGTACAACTCGATGAAGAAATGCATGCGCAGAAGGATAGCCCATTGTAGATGTCAACAAGACTAACAGTAAGAGTTATCAGTCTGTCCCATTCAGTCCATGCAAAATTGTCGAAGTCTACATACCTTGACAATCCTCATCATCTTCTAGTCGCTGCTGGTATTGCTGATGCGCAGCACACAAGCCTATTACCAAAATCTTTCCCATATCGGTGAGAACATCGGACCAAGCTGCATGTTTACAATGGCATGCTGCTGTACATTTTGCTGCAAAAAAACAGCAAGCTGACCTTCACAAGCAAGGCGAGCTGCTAAATCCACTGATTTTGGATCATCTGCAACAAATAAGTTGTCAAAAAGACACGGGAGAGAATGATCGATTTATCATATATATTACTTGTTTACACAGCAATCCATATCTTGAGAGCGGCATGGGCACTCTCCACGCGTGATGTCGTAACGTGGTCCTAATGGCGTTTATCTTGAAGGAAAGCAGCGAAG